CTCGATGTCACGCTGTGGTGGGCGTAGTTTGTGATGTGGCGGCAGGGAAGGCTGACACACCGGAGCACCATCAGCAATCACGCCTCTTCACATAAAAACAATGAACTGGGTCCTGAGTTGTGTATGTGTGGCTGGCCCGGTGTGTAAGTGACGACAACCGAAATAAAGGAAAGCGTTTGAAAGTACAAGAACGTGGTCGAGTCTGCCACACATCTTCTACACATGTCATTCTTAATGAGTTGATGGATGGCATCCTGGGGAACTCCTCCCACATCTGGACCAGCTCATCACTGAGGTGCAGCCTGGCGGCGTCGGGTGGACCGAAGCATCCTGTCCTACAGCTGTACTGTTGGATTCTGGTATCAGTATCTTCATCTTCGACCCAGGGCAGGCACTGACACGGGTCCAGTCCATTTATGAAGTGGCTCCCCGCTGCACAGCTTACACTACGCTGCACAGCCAGTGTTTCAGCTCAGCTATCAGAGTCCTCCAGCTGTAGACCCTTCCTGTTTGGGGGGGTCTCATTGAGGTCTGTGCTGCACCTGTTGGTAATTTCATTAACAGCACAGTAGCTGATTACACCTCCTCTAATGACCTGAGCAGATCAAAATCCCAGTTTCACAGACTTGATGTTGTACTCTGATTCAAAAGTGCTGCTTTCATTCTTTGAACAGTGTTACAGTGTGTTACAGTGTGACAGAGTGTTACAGTGTGTTAGAGTGTGTTACAGTGTACGTTACATGTACGTGTACAGTGTTACAGTGTGTTACAGTGACAGTGTTACAGTGTGTTACAGTGACAGTGTTTACAGTGTGTTACAGTGTTACAGTGTGTTACAGTGTGTGTACAGTGACAGTGTGACAGTGTGTTACAGTTACAGTGTTTTACAGAGTGTTACAGTGTGTTAGTGTGTGATACAGTGTTACAGAGTGTTACAGTGTACAGAGTGTTACAGTGTGTTACAGTTACAGTGTTAGTTAGTGTGTTACAGTGTGTTACAGTGTTACAGTGTGTTACAGTTGACAGTGTGTTACAGTGTGTTACAGTGACAGTGTGTTACAGTGTGTTACAGTGTTACAGAGTGTTACAGTGTGTTACAGTGACAGTGTGTGACAGTGTGTTACAGTTACAGTGTTTTACAGAGTGTTACAGTGTGTTAGTGTTAGTGTTACAGTGTGTTACAGAGTGTTACAGTGTGACAGTGTGTTGTTACAGTGTGAGTTAGTGTGTTACAGTGTTACAGTGTGTTACAGTGACAGTGTGTGACAGTGTGTTACAGTTACAGTGTTACAGAGTGTTACAGTGTGACAGTGTGTTAGTTAGTGTGTTACAGTGTGTTACAGTGTTACAGTGTGTTACAGTGACAGTGTGTGTACAGTGTGTTACAGTTACAGTGTGACAGAGTGTTACAGTGTGTTACAGTGTGACAGTGTTAGTTAGTGTGTTACAGTGTGTTACAGTGTGTTACAGTGTTACAGAGTGTTACAGTGTGTTACAGTGTGTGTGACAGTGTGTTACAGTTACAGTGTTTTACAGAGTGTTACAGTGTGACAGTGTGTTGTTAGTGTACAGTGTGTTACAGTGTAAGTGTTACAGTGTGACAGAGTGTTACAGTGTGTTACAGTGTGTTACAGTGTTACAGTGTGTTACAGTGACAGTGTGTTAGTTACAGTGTGTTACAGTTACAGTGTTACAGAGTGTTACAGAGTGTTACAGTGTGTTAGTGTTACAGTGTGTTAGTTAGTGTGTTACAGTTACAGTAGGTTACAGTGTGTTACAGTGACAGTGTGTGACAGTGTGTTACTGTGACAGTGTGTTACAGTGACAGTGTGTTACAGTGTGACAGTGTGTTACAGTTACAGTGTGACAGTGTGTTACAGTTACAGTAGGTTACAGTGTGTTACAGTTACAGTGTTACAGAGTGTTACAGTGTGTTACAGTGTGTTAGTGTTACAGTGTGTTAGTTAGTGTGTTACAGTGACAGTGTGTGACAGTGTGTTACAGTGACAGTGTGTGACAGTGTGTTACAGTGACAGTGTGTGACAGTGTGTTACAGTGACAGTGTGTTACAGTGTGACAGTGTGTTACAGTGACAGTGTGTTACAGTGTGTTACAGTTACAGTGTGACAATGTGTTACAGTTACAGTGTTACAGACTCCACCTGTTTCTGAAAGAAAACATGTTTAAAGCTCGTCTACCGATTCAAATGACGGTGTGTTCAGAGTCTGAACGAGATTATTTCAGGAGGTTTTCTTCTCAGCAGCAGCCTGACTGCTGTGTGCAGTGGGTGGTGAAAAGTGACCGAGGAGGACATGCAGGAGGAGGTGGAGGCGTGACATCCAGGTGTTGATAGGTTGGAGGCTTCGTGCTGTGTGGCTACAACAGAGAGAGACGGGTGGACAGCGGGAGGGTGGGAGTCAAAGCAAGGAATAAATAAAGGAGGGATTTGTGTGGACGTGTTAACTGCTGCCACACAGAGCAGCTCAAGATTTGGGAGGCTGGAATCATTATGCACGTTTTTAACATTTTTCTCTCTTATTTTGAAAGTCTTTGTGTTTCCCTCTCAGATGAGTGGGTGCAGCATCACCCACAGGTTTGTGGCAGCGTTACCATGATGGATGTTGGTTTTCTGCAGGTAGAGATCTGTGTTGGTGTTACCCACAGCACCAGAGACGGCTGCTGATGGGCACGCAGTCATGCCCAGGTAGAAACTGGAGCTTCGCCTTCTGGACGCTCTGTTAGTACAGTAACCTCACAGCAGCCATGTTACTGGTCACATGACTCATTCAAAAGGCTCCAACAGCACAAACAGGATGCAGAGGTCCAGTTCAGCCTATCAGACACCTCTCAGTCAGAGGCCACGCCCCTAACGATGCAGACTTTAAATGATCTATGTAGACCAAACAGCTTGTGCCGTTTGTTAAACTGTCAGTGTGACCTTTCCCCTCTGTGGGAGTTTCACTCTGTTGATGAGCACGCTGACCGGCACCTAAACTTTACAGACGTGTGCGAGGGAGGTGCTGGGAGGAGGTGAGGAGGAGTGGAGGCTGAATCTAGTGAAGAAAGGTTGTGAAGTGAAAACATATGAAGGGAGCAGATGGGCTGAGAAGGCAGCGAGTGTGAAGAGCGGGTGTTGATGTCTGCGGGAAGAGTGTTTCCCTTCGCGCCCGCGGCGTTAACTCACATGTCCCATCATGCACTGGGGCGAACGCCGGCAACAGAGACAACACAGTGACTGATGAGTTTGTCTTTCTGTCCTCAGCCCACCAGCGA